TCTCCTGGTGATTGGCCCAAAGTCACCCAGGTGGCTTTCGTGCGTAAGGCGGGACTAGAACTCCCAGTCTCTTGGTGTGATTGGACACACCTGGAATTTGTCTCCTGCGTACAAACTCTCAGTGTGCGTGAAAGCTAGAAGTGATAAATCAGAATCATAAGTCATCCTAAAAATACACTCATCCTAAATCATAGGATACAACACTGAGTGATCGTCCCGGGAAGCTAAATAAACAAATTTCAATCGGTTTATAATAGTGATCAATAGTCATTAATCATAATTATGAACAGATAAGAATCCCAAATAATTCAGGTAAGATAGTCTCTTGTTGGGAAATCTTGGTCCCTCTGACGGAGCCGAGCTCTTGTGTGGTCATCCTTCTCCTTGACCCCCCCGAGGCCGGTCAGTCAGGGCCCTCCAAGGAAAGAAACTAGTGGTCCAGAAATCTTCAGACTTTTAAAACCTCCCTTTAATTTTTATTTTAAAGGTTATAAAAGGGTGTGGGTGAGTGTCAATTCCTGATAAAAGCCAGGCTGCCTCTCTATAAAAGTTTTATTTGGGGCCAATCGGTCACATCCTCAAGTTTTGCACCTTTGTTCAAGCCGGCCTTGGTGGGGGAAGCTAAGATTGGTACTTGGAAAGGAGACCACAAGGAAATCTCAGGGCTTTGAAGGAAAAGGTTGAAGGAAATCAATCCAAATCTTTGCACTTCTTTTTTATAATCTTATCTATATAAAAGCGAAAGGCCCCTCGCACATCATCACAAAATCTCCAGAACCGTAAAATTGGGTCCGTATCTTCGGCTTCTAGGGGCTCCCTAAGAAAGGATTTTTCCAAATAATGGAAATATAATGATGATGTACAACGCTGTATATTTAAAAGAGACTATATGTATGACTATGAGAATTATAGTGATAACCAGGGTGTATAATATATCTGAAAAAGGACTTGATATAACCAGTTGTAAAACTGGAAATGTGATGTATAATAAAGGAAACGGTACACTAAAATATTTTTTTAAAGACATATTTCTGGTTTTAAATCTATACGTTGCATTATCATTTTTTCCCAACCGCATGGAAAATCCAATATATATCCTGTATATACAATACATATATATATATATAGCTTTTGGGCATCTCCACCATATATGATAGTACGAGGCAGGTATCCTTGACAAACCCAGTCCAAATCCTTGAGCTTCCTTTGCCAAGGAAACACCCAAAGCCGAGTTGGCTTGAAGGGAAATTTTGTGGGTTTTATAGATGCGTCGACAGTCCAGCTTCCGATCTCGGTTTGTTCAGAAGTTTAAATCCTTTTTTTTTTCCTTTTAAGTTTTTTATTTTCCTTACAAACGTATAAATGCCTGAACAGTGAGGTACCAGAGTGTCGTCGAAATAAAATAATATTCATCACATTTGTTCCATTTGACAAGCTTATACAATTATAATCATAATACATAAAACATTTACGTTCAATGAAAAATCTTCCATGATTTGCTTGTTCAACTTATAATCCTTTGTGATTTGATTATTCAATATTTCAATCCATTATTTTTATGTCAGTCACCCTATTCTGCATGGCATGCATTTGAATACAATAAAGTAATTTTAAATCGTATTTGTTACACGTAGCAAATAAATATATTTATTTATATATTCATAGACACATAGACACATATTCATACGTAATTAGAATTGTTCATTATTTATTTCACCGATAGTTCAAGATATTATTTTTATGTCCGTCCATAATAAACTTTAAATACTTTTGAACCGATTCCTGGGGGAGAGAAAAGCACTCTGTGTGAGCCAGAAATCCCAGCAAGGCCGCTTATGAGTTTTGCACCTGTGACCCAGGGGAAAAAAACAACCTAAGATTGAGGTTTGGAAAGGAGACCATGAGGAAATCCCATGGCCATCCCTCCTGTTTCCCCCGAGTTGGGCATTCGAAGCGAGGGAACAAGAACAATAAAATTGGAAGGAACTTTGGAGGTCATCTAGCCCAACCCCCTGCCCAGCAGGGGAGCCCATTATTCTCAATATTAGCCTCTACCTAGGATCGAACTCACGAGCCTCCTGATTGTCAGGTGAGAGCTCCACCTCTAGGCCACCGCTCTGGACGCCACTTTCTTGGGAGGTGGGGTAACCAATTCCTCTTCTGGACCCCTTTCCCACGCGATTTCCCATGCTCCCCGCGGGACTTCAAGGCCTGGAGAGCGACGGGAAGAAGCACTTAAGGGGCTTCAGATTAAAGGCGACGCCAGACGCTCCTACCTGCCGTCCAGGTGAGAGGCAGGTTTGGCCGGAGGGGGAAAAGCCCGTTGGGGAAGGAGAGGGGAGGCAGGTCCCGCCCGCCCCCCGCAGCAAGCCTCTAACCCGGGAGCCGCACGTGGGAACGGTCCGCAGGCTGGCTTGTGCGTTTGCTTGTGTGCTTGTGTGTTGAGGGTTTGTGGGCTT